CTCGTGTTCTGTTGCGCCAGCGGCTGACTTGGGGACCCCTGGGGCAGAGCAGGTGGGGTCCTGCCGGGTTGGTCCCGCAGCACCGTCCTTTGGCGCTGCAGGACCAACCCGGCAGCACTCCAGCTGCTCGGCCCCAGGCATCCCCAAGAGGAACTGGGGTGCTGCCGGGTTGGTCCCGCAGCCCCGAGGGGCAGCGCTACGGGACCAACCGGGCAGTACCCCAGCTGCTCTGTCCCAGGCGTCCCCAAGAGCTGCTGGAGTGCTGCTGAGTTGGTGCCATAGCGCTGCCCCTCGGCGCTGCGGGACCAACCCGACAGCACCCCAGCTGCTCTATTGCAGGCATCCCTGATTCAGCTGCTGCTGAAACTGACCAGCAGCGGCTGATTCAGGGACGCCTGGGGCAGAGCCGGACTATCGTAAGGGGGGGCTATGAAGGGTCTGGGGAGGCATCCCCTCCCACCCCACTCCAGACCCCTCATAGCCCCCCCTTCTGATAGTCCGGCATATTTGATAATCCAGCACCCCCTGGGTCCTAAAGGTGCCGGATTATCGGAAGTTTACTGTATTTTGTTTTTTTAAAATGCAAATCGTTTTATTTCTTCTATTCAGCTCAAAAATGGTTGGTAGAATTTTCCTCATACTTTCCACACTAATTCACCTTAGAGCCAAGAGCAAGCATGAATAGTTTCAGCCCCAAAAAAAGTGTTTTTATTAAGAACTGGCACAAACATATGCACACTGACATTTAGAACTAAAACAGTTTTGCAACATTTAATTCTAATTTTCACTACAAAGTCAATGATTATAATAATGAAGTCAATATATTATAATAATGCACCATGATTATAATAATTATGATAATGTACCATGCTGGCCATGTGTTTCATGACCTCAGCTCTTGACAGAATTACAAATTGTGTAAGTATTGTATGGGGGGGAGGGGGTGTATCTTTGTTTTGAGAAAGACACTTTGTATAGTATTGCAAAACCAGCATATAAACCCACCGAGCTGATAGAAGCAGCTAATATTCCCTGCTCTCCCCGCCCCCCAGTAAGATGCATCTTCTGCATTTATTCCTCAGATGTATAGCCCACATCCTCATGGTTCCACACACAAACCACTTACCTTTCAAACAATAAAGGACAAGTATATGAGATCCCTTTGAAGTTCAATACTACCCCTCAATCAGCAAAAGGAGTCACAACTGAGAAATTCAATAAACCCACAGGACAGGCAACAATACACTAGGAATACAGTGCAAGTCTTCTCCTTTGCTGTGAAGAGTCTACGATGACTAGGCAAACCAAAGAGCAGCCTTTTGCTGTTGAAAGTCAGTCCTCCTACCTTTCTGGATTAGGGAAGTGTACCATGTAATTAACATTTTAACATACACTTTGAAGTTGACCAGTGGATTTTAGCCACACGTCTCTCACTGATGCAAACAGAAGGCAAAGATCTAAATCTATAATGGGTTGTTTAAAAGGAGAGAAATCTTTACACTTAATATGAATAAAGCAAATAGGTGCATAACCCTTCAGAGGGTATATCTACACTGCAGAGTTTTTTTTTCAGAAAAACAGCCATTTTTCTGAAAAAAAACCTTCACTTACATCCACACTGCAATCGCGTTCTTTCAAAAAACAATCCAAAGAACGGAGGGGGTTTTCCGACACTGGTAAACCTCCTTCTATAAGGAAGAAGCCTTTTTCTGAAAGAGCTCTTTTGGAAAAAAGCGTGTGTGGATGGAGAAGAGGGAGCTCTTTCGAATGAAGAGGAAAAAGCACAGGTGCCCTGGTGGCCACTCTGTCCATAGTAATCACAGCTTAAATGCAAGATAGCATCCACGATGAATGGACACTATCTTTCGAAAAATTTCGTTGTGTAGACACTCTTTTGGAAGAAGTTTTCTCGGAAGATCTCTTCCAGAAAAGATTCTTCCAAAAGAAGCCTGCAGTCTAGACTTAGCCTCTAGAGAGAAGAACTCAACTGAAATTATTTTTAAAACTGGACTAGTAAAAGAAAAAGAAAGGCTTAATCTGCTAATTTAGAAGGCTTCGATCACATGGCTGAGACTGAAGTGTATGTAGATCACTTCTTGGAATTCTGAAACATTAATGTCACTCCCAGAGAAAACCTCTATTCTGCTTTCTTTTCATGAGACATTTAGAAACAAATTCAGACAAAGAGTAAGAACATTAATTGTATGATTGCATTAGTTTTGTGACTATGATACCTGACTTGCTTTTCATCTGTAGAGCTACGTCCGTCATTGAGTGTTTTCTCAGGTAAGAGGCATCCGTTCAATGTTTTCTGCAACAATCCCTGAAGCTGATGAAGGACAACTGCTTCACATGCCTCAAGGTCTTCCTCTTTCAGATTGCCAGTTTGATTACAAAGGCTATAAAATAAAACAGGTGCTGCATGAAATGTTTATTTAAGCCCAGACAGATAGCTAGAATAGGTTTGGATATAGAATCTGCAATAATTCTCCTGGTTTATGGAATAATAATCAGTAATATAATCTAGACATAAAAATGCAGCCATGACAATGACTCTTGACAAAGACATAAAATAGAGCAATGAGTTAGAAAACAATTTTTTTTCAATCCAGGAATCAAATACACCTTTTTAAACTCCTTAATGCCCTTGGGCAGTGAATATTACATCTGAAAAATAATTATTCCCACAAGAAACACCACATCTGGTTTCCAGTGGAGCTCAACCAACCTGCCAGCAAACTTTTAAAAAGGTTAAACCGTATATTGTTGATTATATCAAGAGGAGTTCCTGCAATAACTTTGGTCACCTGACAGCCTTGTGAATCCTGCATGCATGATGGTACTGTACATGGAATATAGCCACCAGCTATTTTTTGGAGATAAAAGGTTGGATTGCAACAGTTAAGATTGAAATACATGGCATTCACTCAAGAGTTCTGAAGCAACTCAAATACGAAACTGAAGAATGACTAATTATGCTGTGTAACCTACCACTTTCAATCAGCCTCTACCTCAGTTAACTGGCAGGCTGCTACTGTTGCACTCATTTAAATAAAAGCATCAAGAGGCGATCCTAGCAATTATAGGCCAATAAACCTAACTTTAGTACCAAGCAAATTGGTTGAAACTCTAGCAAAGGACAGAATGATCTGCCACACAGCTGAACACAATACACTGAGGAAGATATGGCTTTTGTAAAGGGAAATCATTCTGTGAGGGGGTCAACAAGCATGTGGACAAAGGTGATCCAGTGGATATAGTGCACTTCAGAAAGCCTTTGACAAGGTCTCTCATCAAAGGCTCTTAAGCACAATAAACAGCCAGAGGATAAGAGGGAAAATCTCTCATGGACCAGTAACTGGTTAGAGGACAGGAAACAAAGGGTAGGAATAAATGGTCAGTTTTTACTATGGAGAGAGGTAAATAGCAGGGTTCTTCAGGGGTCTGTATTGGAGCCAGTGCTGTTCAACATATTCATAAATGATGTGGAAAAAAAGAGTAAGCAGACAGGTGGCACAGTTTGCAGACCATTAAAAATTATCCAAGATAGCTAAGTCCCCAAAGCTCACTACGAAGAGTTACAAAGGAATCTCCCAAACCTGGGTGACTGGGCAACAAAATGGCAGAAGAAATTCAGTGTTGATAAATGGTAAGTAATGCACATTGGAAAACATAATCCCAACAATATATTCAAAATGATGGGAGTCGAAAATTAGCTGTAATCACTCAAGAAAGCGATCTGTGGACAGTTCTCTTAAAATATATGTTCAATGTGCAGGCGCAGTGAAAAAAAAGCTAACAATATTAGGGACCACTAGGAAAAGGACAGACAATAAAAGACAGAAAATGGAATCATAATGACACTTTATAAATCTATAGTGCACACACACCTTTAACGGTTTCAAGTATCTAAAAGGATGTTATAATGAGGAGGGAGAAAAATTGTTCTCCTTGGCCTCGGAGGATAGGACAAGAAGCAATAGGCTTAAATTGCATCAAGCGAGGTTTAGGTTGGACATCAGGAAAAACTTCCTGCCAGTCAGGGTGGTTAAACACTAGAATAAATTGCCTAAGGGGGTTGTGGAATCTGCATCACTGGAGATATTTAAGAGCAGGTTAGACAGACACCTGCCAAGGATGATAAAGATGGTACTTGGTCCTGCCGTGAGGGCAGGGGACTGGATTCGATGACCTCTGGAGGTCCCTTCTAGTTCTAGTGTTCTATGACTCTTCATTACTGTTTGGCTTTTGGTTCATTTTTTGCTGCCAACCCAGAAAGAAGATGTGATGGTATTTACGCTAATCCCGTAGGGATGTTACATTTCAATGAATCGGCTAATCAAGTTGTCGATGGAATTTCCATCAACGACTCGATTAGTCGATAAGGGGACCACTCGCTATCCCACTGGGCCTCTTCCTTTGAAATATACAAGAACCACCTGTGGCTATTTCAAAGGAAGGGGTGGCTCTTGTACATCTCAAAGGGAGAGGCACAGCAGTCGGGACCCCGCGTGAACAGGGACCGTTTCAGTCCCCACTCGCACCGGTTCCCCCACTGCATCTCTGCCTCCCCAGCCGCCCCATGGAGACAGTGCTAGGGGGGAATATGGTTTTTAAGCCAGTTTCCCGCAGCACTGGCTCCTGACCCCTGCCCCCCTGGTGCCTTTGATGCAAAGGCAGCAAGGGGGAGGAGAAGCGATTGGTTGAGTAGTGACTAAACTAGTTGCTTACATCCCTAAATCCCAGCACTAATGGCAACTCCCATTAGTATAATGGCAGTTGCCTATACACCAGCTAGAGTAGTATTGTGAACATTTTAGCTGAAAGTGCTTATTGCAATCCTTTGGTGGGACAGGGTTCCTAAAGTCACATTTCAACTTTTTGCTGACATCAGAAGTGATTTTTGTTAACGGCTGTAGATGTCGGTTTGGAGGAGGTCTCGCTTTCTCTCCCACTGTCCCATTTTACCAATAGAATGAAGATTAGGGATGTCTGAGTGTAAACAACTAACCGTTTACCTGGTAAGCGGAAGCTTATTGGTTAAAGGTGTCATTTACACTCAGCGAAGCCGCCTCCCATGGGGCTAGCAGCCCTGCTCCCAGGAAGGCTTCGCTGACAGCTCTGTAGTATAAAGCTAAGCTAAGCTTTATACTGCACAGCCCACAGCATGGGTAACGGTGTAACAGCTGAGATTTTCAGCAGTTACACAATTACCCTATTACACCATTTTTAACATCCCTAATGAAGACCAACACATTATATCTCAAAGATCATTGAACAGCTGATGGGGGTAATAACTTCAGGTCACTCATCAGAGTCAAATTCAAAGCTAATAACCAACCAACAATTTAAAGAAAAATGTATTTATAGATGTTACTGCTAGGGGCACTGAGGCCAACAGGCCAATATACATGAGAAGGGACTAGGAAATAGGAAATGGCATACTTTTCAAATTTCTACTTTTTAATTTAGAGTTCTGTTAGTATAGATCAAATGAAGTTGCATCAACCTTATTAGCTTCTTCAGTTTTGCTTCACTTATGGTTCCACTTTGGTACAGAGCCAAGCATTCGGGTGCTGCTTTCACCACTAGATCTTCTATGAACTCAAGTAAATGGGAGAATCCTTCAAACGATAAACAGTCCCTGAAAACAGATAACAAATAATGTTTTAAAGCTTTGAAAACTGCATTCTACTGTGCACAAGTCAAGCATTTTATACACACGCACACACGAGCAAATTCTAAAATATTCTGATTTGTATCTTTATTTTTATCTTTCACTCACACCAAGAGGTTTACAAAAAAGTTAAAACTCTTGACAAAAAAGACAGAACTCGGGCAGGCTCCCAAAACAGAGTAAATGAATACAGTAAGAGGAAAAACAGATATGAAACAAAGCTACAATAAACTATTGCTCTTCAGAAAAGTGCTAGGTCTACGTTAACATTGCTATAGAAACTGAGAATCATCTTTCAGCAAAAACAATATTGTAGTTCCGCAGAAAAAGAAAAACAAACCTCAACGCCAACAGTTTTTACATTTCTGCCCATGGTCTGAGTACACTTTGGATGGCACGTTTCAATAGCAGCAGGGGGCGTTTCATTTTTAATTAGGGTGAACGCGTGTCCCTGTTTTCAAGGGCTGTCTTTGTTCTCCCTGACGGTTTTACAGAAATTAGCACTTTGCTCTAATTTTTGGAAGCCTCTGTAGACTTGGCCACATAAGGAATCAAAATCCATAATTATAGCCCAAAGTCGTAATACAGAATCAAACAATATAATACATCTTCACAAAGGACTTCAGTGGCTGCCAGGGTCAGTAAAATCAGCAATAAAATGTTTGGGCACATCTGCACTTCCTGATATCTGTTGTCATCCTGCCTTCCCCTCTACCCACAAGAAACCTTAAGGCAGCAATCCTCCACATAGAGGGTTATTTACTATTTTCTCCCATTAACTGTAAAAAATTCCAGCCCCTTGAGAAAGAGTTGCAGAGATGGAGGAGGGGTTAGTATCTCTTTCAAATACACCTTACTGGGATGTCTGGAAAAAATAAAGCACTAGAAAATAAGTTTTTACAGTCATGGGATGTGATTTTCAATTTACCCCTGACTTCAGTGGAATCAGAGATAGGCCAGTGCCAAATGATTTTGGAAATCCTACTTGTGATGCTTGAAAAATATGCTCCTCTTGCTGACTTTTTGGAAGTTTTCAGATTTTTTTTCCAGCTTACCTCATCTCCAAAATGGCTCGTCCTATAGATTCCAAATGCGTTTTAATGCCTTTGATGTGGAGAGGTGGTTTTTGATGTTTGTTTATTTCAAGAGGGGAGTGGATGAACATGGGTCAGAACTAGCAAAGGTATTCTATAACGGGCTTGCAAGGAAGGGTAATATATCCACTCACCAACACAATTTTCAAATGTCCAAACTTTGACAAATTAATCCCCAAACCAAAACCACATGCTGATCCTTAACGAGCACCTATTTCCATGTCAAATTTCACCTTCACAACTGTAGCCTTCCTTGCATCTTGATCAAAAACACACTAGATCTATTTTTATAGGGCTGAAGTCTATTCCAACATACTTTCATTCAGAAATGATTGAAAGGAACAGACTCAACCACAAACACACACACAATGGCTACGTCTACACTGGCACCTTTTTCCGGAAATGCTTAAAACGGAACAGTTTTCTGTTATAAGTATTTCTGGAAAAAGACAGCATTCTACATTGGCAGAATGCTGTTCCGGAAAAGCCCTTTTTCCGGAAAAGCGTCCGTGGCCAATGTAGACGCGCTTTTCCGGAAAAAAGCCCCAATCGTCATTTTCGCAATCGGGGCTTTTGTGGAAAAGAGTACTGTGCTGTCTACACTGGCCCTTTTCTGGAACAGTTTTCTGGAAAAAGGACTTTTGCCCGAGCGGGAGCAGCATAGTTTTTCCGGAAAAGCAGCTGATTTCTTACAGTAGATCGTCAGTGCTTTTCTGGAAATTCAAAGGGCCAGTGTAGACAGCTCGCTGCTTATTCCGGAAAAGCAGCTGCTTTTCCGGAATAAGTGGCCCAGTGTAGACACAGCCAATATGTAAGATAAGGGCAGAAAGGCTGAAATTAAAGAGATGTTCCCTTCTTGCATGTGTTTTTGGTTGAGTATTTTTTACCCTCGCAATGTCAGGAACATAAACTCGGTCTTCCCTGATTTAGCTGGAAGAACTCATGGTTTCTCAACCTATGGCTCATGATCCATAATTGGAGTCCACAGAACGTGTCAAAGCATTACACGGGAGGCCTTGTGCTCACTCTCTGGTCCCACAGAGCCGGCTGGGCTCGGTTCCCCACTCCAGATGTTGTGACAGAGTGCGTGGGGTGTCAGCCCCACTCAGGTTTCAGGTCATTGAGCTCAATCTGAGGGAGTGCTGTTGTAAGCTCATGTACTCGTTTGCAATGCCCAGAGCAGAGGACCGAGCTCCACCAGTTCTTTGGCACGGGACCCATTGTTTTGGAACACACAATAACGAAGTATATCATGGTAAAACAAATGTAGTGAGCCAAGCAGGTTTTTTGCACTAAAGCTATGTACTGAGTTGTAGTAGGCTGTCAATGTCTACCAATGGGTCCCAAGTCCAAATGAGTTGAGAACCACTGAGCCAGAAGGCTCTGAACGTGTATTTTGTGACCTCTTGGCCTTAGCTGTAGATGCGAGTGCTGAATGTTTAAGAAAGCCATCTCTTCTTCAAAATGATATTTTGATGTTCAAGTAGGATTGCCAGATGGAGGCTCTGGCTGGAAGGAACTTCTGCTAGGCACAGCGAACCTCTCAGGCAGAATCTCTCCTGCTTGCGCCCCCACATTATGCTTAAAACAGCCAGCTGCTGGGGCCAGTGC